TCGACTGCTGTTGCATCTCTTGCTTTGTGACGGCAGATTGCTTTGAGCCAAGCACTGTCATCCAGCCGCCTTTATGGCAGGCCGCGTAGTGGACGATCGACGTGCAGTGTCCGCCTCAGTTTACGCCAAACGTAAGCTTTGGCGAGGGGGGTGTAAATTATGTACGTGTAAAGTATTGTCCCCTTGTGTAGCTCATGGATGACCGCTGCTACTAGTGCTCTAACCAGTAAAAGGCGCCCGTGCAATTGCCATGGTATAGTCTGGTTAACACTTAACGGTATTATCAGTGCGTGTGAGATTTGAGTGGTATTCCCCAACCATAAAGACTCATCCTTTTAACCACGGTTTAGGCTTAAGGGGTTTGGGGTTTGAGGGTTTAAGCCCAGAGAAGACTCATCCTTAAACCACGGTTTCGGTTTAAGGGGTTTTGGGTTTGAGGGTTTAAAGATGGGGATCGTGACCACTTGGGGGAGATTGGACAGGTTCTCAGCATGAACCTCCTGCTCTATGTCAGTTTATTGCTTACCGCCTCGGGAAAGCCGTGGCGGAACATGACCTGTACCTTGGGACATTTAACACAAACCCTGTATTCCCAACCCTATACCGCATATATATATATGTAAATGCATATATACACGTATATACATATATATACACATACATATATATATATATATATGTACACACATAGTTTCTGTGAACTGGTGAACTCCAAACTCCACTTGCGTCCACCCCCAGCTCCGGTGGAGCATTTAGGTTTCAGGATAGAGGGTCTCTTGGGGGGGGTCTCATAGGATTGCAGGCTCAAGTAAAGTTGAAGGCATAAAGTTGGAACATTAATGTCCTGATGCCCTTAAGGTAAAGTGTAAGGGATCCTAGCACTCATCGTGCTAAACCTATGTTCCAACTTTGTGGGATTCGCAGTAGGGTCTGTCGGGCTTTCTATGTTCTCAATATTTGCGAGTATTCCTTTCGGTCTTTGTAGAAATACTTGAAACCTTTTCGGTGGTCCGGTGGAGGGTAGAGCGAGCGAGCAGAGAGAGGGAGAGAGACCGAAAGAAAGAGAAAGTCTTCGTGCTTACTTGGAGGTTCAGGGACTTAGCTTGAGTGTAGGCTGGAGGTATTCTATTTCGTGCATTCAGCATCCCCGGCGGCTGAAAGTAGCATTGAGTCGAAGCATCCAGGCTCTTTAATGCTCTAGTGCACGCTCTTGTCGCCAGACATGCACGAAGCCTGGATCAACAACCCGAAATCGTTAGACGCTGTACGGGACTACGATTCCGGCAACTGCACCTACAACCCGATAAGTGAGTTCCGTATTCCCGCAGTTTGGCGGTTCATGAAGGGGAGTTGTTACCATTAGAGGTTCTCATCGAAAGGCCCTTAGAATCAGTATCCTAGCAAATGCGGCGTTTTTTTAATCAAATCCTCTATCATACAGATAATATAGAGAGTCGCAACAACATCGAGCTTCAAGACCTCCACGCGACTTACCAGCTTGCAGGAACACGGAACTGTATAAGACCACAAGTGTGGAGTCTATTCGCAATGTCGCCTTTCGGATCATCGAAGCAGCAGTGAATTGGAACTATATCATTCTCCCAAGTCCGATCATATGAATGATACAGATCCAGCAGTTATGATGTATTGTCTGCAGCAGCTGCGCCCCACCAACCAAACCCCACAATCACCGCATTGTCAAAAACGTGCGGAACCCAACAACTTTAAGACCCTGTGAACCCCCTACACCCCTTCAGAACAAGTATTTTTACTAGGCATGAGCATGAGCTAGTAATGCTGTTTTCTCCCTGAAGACAGGTGTTATCATCAAGGGTCTTCCTGGATGTGGACATTTGGACGTCTAGGCAGCAAACCAGAAAGGACCCGAAACCCTACGTCATGAGCCCTCGGTCCCTGAGTCCTTAAGCCCAAAACCCTAAAACAACACTCAACTTTAAACCCTGCACCCCTTAAGGCCTAAACGTCTAGCGCCCTAAGCCCCGCACCATACTCCGACACCTCAAACGTCCAAAAGTCTTAATCCGAACGTCTAAGCCCATGAGGCCCTAAACCCCAACCCTTCAAGCCCTAGGAACCCATATACAACCATACAAAACCCTTCAAATAGATGCTTCAGCGCTTAACTCCACCTGAAGGATCATGGGACTTAGTTACTCGGATTGTAAACAATGTACTAAAACCCCCGAATTAAGGTATTTATAGCTTGCTTACTAGGTCCCATGATCCTCCTTATAGAACCCTTTTGGATCCCTTTCAGGAACCCTTTAAAGATACCTTCAAGGAGCCCTTTGATAAGGAACCCTTGAACGATCCGGAGTCCTTTAATGTAACCCTTATAGAACCCTTAAAGATCCGGTTAAGGAACCCTTTAAAGACCCCTTTCGGGAACCCTTTGAGGAGCCCTTATGGAACCCTTGTAGACCCCTTTAAAGACCCCTTTCCGGAACCCTTTAATGAACCCTTTAAGGACCGCTTGAAGGAACGCTGTAAGGAACCCTTAAAGTGTATACCCATAGAAGCCCTAAACCTAAACTGCCTGTAGATGAACCTTCACAAAAGCCGCTTCAGAAGCCGATTGTATCAGAGTCTAAGCCCTAAACCCTAACCCTTCAAGCCCTAAGAACCCATATACAACCTTACAATACCCTTTAAATAGCCGATTGTATCAGAGTCCCCTAAACCCAAAACCCTAAACCCGAAACCCTAAACCCCTAAACCCTAACCCCTAAACCCTAACCCTAAACCCCTAAACGCTAAAC